AAAAGAACCTCCCATCCAAAAAAAACGGGGGAGGCGCCCGCGGGTTTTTCAAGGGACAAGGCTTTAAATAAACAAAGCCGAAACCCCGGTAAGATTTTGGGGGATTCGAAAAAAGATGTTTTCCTCCTTGCAAAGAATTTTTCGCTTTTTTCCTTTATTTCCTTGGGAGGGTATCAAAAATGGAAAAAATTAAATTTTTTTCAGGCCCTTTAACTTCAAAAACAACTGAAAAAGCAGCTGACCCCCCCTCGAGGGGCTTCACCAAAAGGGGGGGGGGGAATATTTTCCATGCCCTAGGGTTTAAACAATTGAAAACGGGTCCCCAAAACCAACGCCAAATCTTTCCTCCCTTCCAAGGTTCCCAAAGACTGGGGGGAGGGGGGGGGGGGGGTCGGTGGTGGCGCGGCATCGGTCTGTGTGTTCAGGGTGCGATGCCTCCAATTGGAGACTCCACCTACAGGGAACGGGTTGGGGCCTAGGACTTGGGGTCTCCAAGTTTTCAGGAGCGCGGGGATGGCGGCTGCTAGCGCCAAAGGTGTTGAACGAAGGTGTTCCACCATTTTTCGCCGAGAATGCCGGGCGCATCGTCCCAGTATGATGGCGTGCTTGAGCGTGCTCGGTCGCGTCTACGTCACCCCACCACCGGGCACCTACATTCGACAGAAAATACCGTCATCGCCGCTATCACCACCACCACCACCACCGCCAGAACTACTACCCAACAACAAGGCACGCCGACAAAAACACCAACGACAAACTCAACCAAATACCGCAAGGTTGCGAGTCAGCGCACAGGGGTGCGATCGATTTCCAGAGCGTAATTTCTCCACAACCAGGAGGTTACCACTGCCTCTGTCGAAGAGGGCGGTTTTGGAAATATCTCATCCACAGTTTTCCTGAGAAGTATCAGTTGGCGCTCGCACCCTTCTGGCTGTGGAGAAATTACGAAATTACGCTTTGAATATCGATCGCACCCCTGTGCTCTGACTCTCAACCTTACGGTAAACAACAAACGGTATCGCGAAAAAAGACCGACCGGACCTGCTGCTTGGTCTCATCGAACGTAGCCTCGTGGATCAGCACCGCCGCCCCCTTCCCCTCCCTGACCAGGGACTCGCTCGGCCGACAGTCCCCGCTGTAGACCAGCTTCCAGTCCTTACCCGCCCCCTCCCCCGGAACCCCGCTGCCGTCACCCCCCTCTTGTGCTGTTGCTCGGCTGTCCGCGACCCCCCCACCACGACCGCCGAACACAGCGTTGGTCGCAACAGAAGGGCCAGCGGAGAACACCGCTCTCGCCGCAGCAGCCGCCGCCTTTGCAGCGGTCGACGCCACGGTGAGGACGAGGGCGTAGGCGTGCGCGCAGTGGCGGACGCGGACGCTGGTGGCCCGGAGGACGCCGGCCCTCGCCAGCGCGCGGGCGGCGGCCGCGGCGATGTGGGGCGGCGGGCGGGGGGCGTTGTCCCCGGCCTGCATGAGGCTCGCGTCGAGGAAGTCGTAGCCGCCGCGCACGGTCGGGTCGACGTCGCCGTACTCCTTCGGTGGGACGAACGGGACGGTAGGTAGCCGGAGGAGGGGTTGGATTCGGGGAAGGTTTGCTGTTGACCGATCAAGAACAAAAAAGTGTATTTAGTACTCGGGAGCTACGGATTGAAATCGATAGGAACTTGTGACACACATATATTGTTTGCTGTTGGCCGATCAAGAACAAAAAAAGTGAACTCGGGAGCTACAGATGGGAGTGGAGCCGGAAATTGTGACACAAACCTAGACTGTTTATCTTTACCTTGCCCTTGGCCGATCAAGAAAAAAAAAGCGTAGTGCTAGAGCACTCGGAGCTAGGGGTGCTAGTGCTTGGGGAAAACAGCTAACACACCAAGGTCACCTTCCTGAAGAGGACGCAAAACCATAGTAGACAAGTGGCGTCCGCTAAAGAAAAAAAAAGGAACATAGTTTCATTCGCTCAGTCACACCTTGAGCCAGGCCGCCACCGGAGCCGGTGCCATGAGCAACAACTTCGGTAACCGCGCCCCCCCGCCGGACACCCCTCCCGGCGCCCCCCCATTTCCCGCAGCCCCGCCGCCGCCCCCTCCGCTCAACAACTTGTTCCGCTCGGACAGGATTCGGACGAGACCCAGATGATGGTCCGCGTGCGGATGCGAGATCCACACGGCGGAGAGGTTCCGCAGCATCTGATGCACACCCGCCTTATTATCCCCGGCGCCCCCCCGGCCATGGCAGGCGTCCCCCTCGCCCCCCCCGCTGCTGCTCGAGCTATCCCCGTACATTCTCCACAGCTGGCCCATGGATCCTTCCCCGGCGTCCAGGAGAATGCTGCCGCCCCCTCCGAACGCAGCCGCGTTGTCCCCCTCTGCCCCTGCTCCACCGCCGCCGCCACCACCACCACCACTACCATGACCGCCACACAGACCTTCCCGTGCCTCGGCAGAGTCCGACACCCCTACCACCCCCGCCGGAGACGCAGGGTCCGTCGGCATAAGCCGGACCAGCATCCCGGTCACGTTCCGGTACTTGGACGGCAGCGCAGACCCGGTGCCGAGAAAAGCCACCTCGGAATTGGACGCCCCCGCCGGGAGAAGGAACGGGGCAGGTACCTGTCCCGTCTTGCGGCCGCCGCCGCCGTCGCCGCCGCCGCCCGGTGACCGCGAAGGTGAGCGTGATCTTGAGGGTGAGCGGCAGGGAGAGGGGGAGCGTGAGCGCGGGCCGGAGCGGATGCTCTCCAGTCGCCGTAGCTTTTCGGAGGAGAGAGAGGTGTGGGCAAGGTAGGCAAGCAGGGAGGAGCGACGCAGGTTGAGCTCGGTAGGGTTTTGGGGACACAACGCGAAAATATATTTTTCCAAGGCCGGAATGTAGCAGGCGTTCGTTTCTCGTCGCCTGCGACAATTTCGTCTAGCACCACGCTGGACGTGGCTTGGGGTCGTCAGGCATGGAGACCATACCGGAGGTCAAGGTGTTCTATTGCCGTGAGGGCAAACAACTGTCTCGCGTCAACATACTGCGTCAACCTTGCGTATGCATACATACGAGCAAGAGGGACAACAAGACTCCTGACGTCCGGAGGTGCGAGGCTAGTGTTCGCTCGCAACGTTAGCCACGGCTGAGGTTAGGGCTTGGGCCAGCACGGCAAAGATCCATGGTTTGTCAATGGTTTATCTAGACGTAACATCAGCGGCAACAGCAGCAGCGACGGCACCACCCAAGCCCACCGGCCGCTGACATGCCCGCGTTCTACTGACGATTTACTACGAAAAAAATAAGAGCTCACAGAGGCCTGAGTGCTGTCGCGAGATCGATCCCACGTCAGCGCTTCCGTGGCGTCCATCTGAGGCCTCTTGGGGGCAGGCAGCATCTCGAACTTCAGGAGCGGAACGGCGGCCATCACCTGGACATGCAGGCAAAACCAGTTGCACAAAAAAAGCCAGGTACAAATGTTCTGTATTTGTATGTACATTTTCTAAAAAAGTCGGTAGTCGGGCATCAGACGCACCCCCCCCCCCCCCCGCACCACTACCCATCATCCTTATTATCAACCCGCAGGCGACGGAAAACGACACAAAAAGTGCGCTAGATAGCAGTCCCAGCGATGTAGCCCATCAGTAACCCCGGCAGCATCCGCAGCCTCCCGAGCACAAGATGCGTGGCGATTACTACTTGTGTTGAGGACACGCCAAAAGGTGATGCCACTACAACTCAAGGGGGGTAAACTCTCGTTCTGTGAACTGGGCCGTCAGGAGCAGTTAACCCTCCCCGAAACAAATGGTAGGTACACGTTGGTTGGTACGGTGACCAACCTTCCTTCATCAATACACATGTCGCAGCCCTTTCATCCCACCCGTTGGCTAGACGAGTTAGCCTACCTTTCTTTCTCGTGGCCAATGTTTTTCATCTGCTACAAGGTCGTGATGGGCAGGGCAAGAGGGTACTAGGAAGGTGCTGCCCTAAACGCGGCTCAGCCTTCCGGTTAAAAAAAACACACACACACAAAAAACAACCGCCGTACCGCACCTTGCCCCCGAAGTCTAGCTCTTCGCGGCCGATGCGCCTAACCTCCGGCGGAATTATTCCCGCGTCTTCACTGGCAAAGCCGCCACCTCTTGTGTCCTCGCTGCCGCTCCCGTCTCTGCCAACACCGTCCCCGTCGCTGTCCCATGGAACTCCCCCTACGAACTGTCGAGGGACCGGGAAGGCGGCCCCGCAGACTTGATTGAGCCTGACCACCTGGTCATGCGCCGCCTGTGAACCCCCGAACGCGCAAGGGTGCCAAGCCAGCGCACATGAACACGGGTAGCACTCTGCTAACGCTATGAAATAACGATATTTCCAGACCCTTATCCATGGATATATATGGATTTATTGTTGTTACATCAAGAAAAAACAACAGTAAGGAGGAGAATCCGCCGTGTTGCTTCTGTTGTTCGATAAAGCGTAGCGTTTACCTATTCGACGCACACAAGGGTGCGCACGAATCAAAACAACACGATCGAAAAAACAGACTCGTGTTCCCGGAGTCGACCGCCTCCATCTGCTCGAACACCCGTCCATGTGGGGTACGAACTCATCCCATCATGCAGTAGCGGCACTGATTCCCTGTTCCACCGCGTCCTTCTCGTGAACCGCAGGTGACATGACATGACATGACCTAAGATACCACACACCCCGGACCGACTGTGAAAGCTCGATTAACCGACGACGAACGGGGGGGTGGACATCAAACGATACGTATTCGGGAAAGGCTCTCGACGACACGGTTCTCACCCCGACATTTTTCGTCACCGCCGCTCTTGCTAGTGTGGAGTAATCCAGCTCTGGAAATCGGTCCAGGGGGTGTGATACCTTATATGTAACCTACGGAATACCGAACACTCACGCAATACAACCGACGACCACATACCTAACTACCGTTTCTACTAACACACATACGTACGCTATTGAGAGAAGACAAGCCCCACCTGAACAACCGTATGCGGCCGAGCGGGACGAAAAACACACAGAACCACCACCTACATCCCCCCAAGCCCCTCGTCGACCTAGCGCATTACAGGTAGGTCGAAGAGACAAGCCACGTGGGTTTTGCGAAGCAAAATAGGGGGCTCCGCAAAATGATTCAGGTAGCCGTTCGGCCGTCCTCGATCGGCCTCACAGCCAATCAAATCATCGCATCTTCACGCGCCCCGTTCATCTGCTGCAACATAGGAGAGCTGCTTGAAAGCAGACAAAACGGCAGGCTCTCCGAACAAGAACGCCTCCACCGATAACGGCCTGAAAGCATACACCAAATGCTACTAAACCACCGCACCAGCCACTACCCCACACCACACACCTGAAAACTCGTGTGAGGCGAGCAGAAGGGCTGCCGAGTCACGAGATGCTTCGCCTCGGGACCGAACCTCCTAGCCCACTCCCCGTACTCCGGCGACCGGACCACCTCGGCGGGGGCCACGTGGACAAAAAACGGGGCGCTTTCGAAGGGGTTGTTGTTGCCTCCACGTCTACGACCCTTGCCGCCACCTTTGGCGGAGGCGTTGCCGTTGATGGTGGGGGTGCTGTCTGGCCCCGCGTAGTACAGCCGTTCCCAAGCGGGGTTGGACACGAGGGACGGCAGGAGGTCCGGGGATGGGCAGTCGACAATGACTACCGTCGCGCCGGTCTTGGCCGGACCGAGGACCTTCGTCATGGGCGGCGGCATGGCAGCGGTGTTGTTGTTGTTGTTGTGGTTGGCGGTGGTGGTGGTGGTGGCGTTGTTGTTGCTGTTGTTTTTTGTTGTTGTTGTGGTTGATGTTGTTGTCGTTGTTGGCATTCATAGCGGCAATGTTGGCCTTGCTCGACATTCCTCTTTGGGAGAGGACAATTCCTGAGCGGGCGGCCCCAACTTCTCCACCCAGCAACAACGTGCTTCGGGGGAACCTTAACCTTTCACTCTGATGTCGTCCTTCCTTGCTAGAAAAAACTCGGCATGACTCGGTGCCCCACACACACCAAAACATTGGCAAGGACGCGCCCAAGAGAGGCACGAGTAACGAAAACCCGCTTTCCGATGCTCCATGAAAAAGCCGTGTGACGCTCGACATCGTCGTGAGCGCATTATTCTACGAGGTGCCCTGTACCCCCCCCCACCCCCCCCGCCCCGGCGCCCTTCGAACCCACCCCTCCAAACGAACACACCTGAAACGGTTTGACGACAGTCCCATCCTCAAGCGTAACGTCATTGCCCCTCTGCAACTCCCCGAACAAAGGACCCTGAAATAACGGGTGAACGTGCCAAACGGCAACACGAAACCGAGCAGCAGGCGATACGAGGGAGGGGGGGGGGAGAGAGGGTCGGGTCGGGGACCACGACCGAAAAAACTGGTGAGAGTTCGCTTGCCGAACGGTCCGATGCCGCAACAGCTGGACGAATCACGAAACAAGCCACGGCCCGATGGATTCGTTCCACCAACGGAGACAAGCAAACATCGACCGATTGTCCGAAGCCCATGGTGGTTGGGTCATGAAATTTACCAAGGGCGGCGGATGACCCCGCCATCACATTTCTCGCTAATAGAGCACAGCATACGCGCATGCACACAGGTTGCGGAGAAAAGCCAACCCCCCTTACAGTGACCCCTCCTCGCAAGGGCCCCCATCACACCGATCACACGGCCTTCAGCAGCGTTGATTGTTTCAAGCCGTACCGACACTGGCGTTATTTTCATTTGGCCAGCCGGTTCGCGGTGAAAATGCCAACAACAACGACGAAAACAACACCTCACCACAAGGGACCCCTCACGGTCATCTACACGAACGCGACAACACCCGGCAAACATAACAACGAAAATAATAACAATAAAAATATTACTCCTAGCAGTAAAACAATAATAATAATAACAACAACAAAAAAAAAAACACGGCGCACATACGTGGGGAACGTTAAGCGCCTTCGCCTTGGGCACGTCGAACTTCCCTGGCAGCGCGGGGGGGTCGCAGATGTAGCACACGCACCCCACCCCGCCCCCCGCCCCCTCATCGCCTTTTTTCTCCTCTGGCGGCCACGCGCCGCCCACCGCGGCAGAGGAACCGTCCCCATCCTCTTCTCCTTGTTTTTCTCTGGGACGCTTGTTGGAAGGGCGGGGATGGTGTTGCTCGGCAGTGCTTGCCGCTGACGGGAGACGACGGCTTTGTTGTCGCATGATCGGGATCTGGGGGATGCTCATCTCGCTGTGTGGGAAAGTGGTCTCCGTTTCCCGGAAGAGCAGTGGGGGGGGGGGGGGGGCGTGGCAGGGAGACGTACAGTAGCACGTCATGGTGACAAGGTTTTCATGCACATGTTCGCGTTTAGCTTTGTTGTGGTCGGGAGTGGTCGGGCTTGTGCCGGGTCGTTCGCACACCAAGTGCACCTTACAGCATTGTGAGTTTAACTGTTAGCACGTAAACTAGTGTCAACACCCTCGAAGAGTGCGATAGAAGAGGTATACATGGCTACATGGCAGAAGGTCGTCAGGAGTGTGTCTTCAAGTGCAGACAAGAACATCGACAGACCGGAAATCATGCGACATGAACAGGGGAGACGCAACTATACGACTATTGCGGGACCCGCACAACTCGGTGTGGGTACCATACCACAACTCCCCCCCCCCCCCCACAAAAGGTTTCCAAGCATGGACACCGATACATCCCGTGCCGCGAGGTTTCGACAGCACCACACCGAGACTTCCGCAACCACAATACCGTAGGTGGCACAAGATACCGCACCCCCTGGACCGTTTACATGTAGCAAAGCTCGATTTCTCCACACCGCAGCAAATAGTGGCAGCGCCGAGAACGGCAGCGTCTCGTCGAGAGAGAGAGCTTTCCGAGACAACTCGTCGTTTCATTTGATGCATCCTCTTTTTCGTCGTGGAGTAATCGAGTTTCGAAAATCGGGACCGCCTCTCGCGAGAAGTAAGTTCATGAGCAAGTAGAACAGGGAGGGGGGGGTACGCACACCCTTCGTCCCTAACTCTAACCGCACTTCTCCGATATCGCATTGCTTTGTCCGACATGTTTTACTTGGACGACAACCCCTGCGAAGGCTACTGGAAAATCGGTCCAGGGGGTGTGTTATCTTGTGTCACCTATGGAGCGAAAATCGGTCAAGGGGGTGAGGTATCTTGTGTCGAAAATCGGTCCAGGGGGTGTGTTATCTTGTGTCACCTATGGAGCGAAAATCGGTCCAGGGGGTGTGTTATCTTGTGTCACCTATGGAGCGAAAATCGGGTGTGTGTTATCTTGTGTCACCTATGGAGTGAAAATCGGTCAGGGGGTGTGGTATCTTGTGTGGTCTACGGTACTGCGGGGACCCTACCTCGACGGCCTCAAACCCAACCGGGAAGTCCGTTCGATGAATGAAGTGCCTCGTGGCGTGGTAGAACTCCGACAGTCCCGGCGGCCCGTGGAGGGTGAACGCCGGCCGCTTACTGCCGCTGCTGCTGCTGCTGCTGCTGCTGCTGCCGCCGACCTCTCCCTCCTTTGCGTCTTCTGCTTCCTCGCCGCCGCTGCCCCCTCTCCCCGCCTGGCCCGCGGCTAGCACTTGGCCGTTCCTGATGTCGGCAAGGGTTAAGACCATGCCTGGGGAGGGACAACAAGAACGGAGTTTTCGGTACGTTTTTTACCCGGCGGAGCATTTAGGCGGGTTAGGTACCAGTGGTGGGGGTGGCGAGTTTTCCCTCAACGAGGGAGGTGTCCGACAACACGCCTTGCCCTATCGTTGGCTGTGCCAACTGCTTTCAGGAACCATTTTTCGACTCCTTGCGGACGACGAAGATTTACTCCGCCCCGAAGGTTCTGAACCAGCCTGCGGCGATCGCTACCAACCCACCCGCCCCCCCAACTAAATAACGAACAACACGCACGGCTCGTGGTGATGACGTGAAGCAGGACATGCACCAAGCGAAAACGAAGAACGGCATGTCGATCGAAGAGGGGAGGCTGCACCCTAAGGCTTGCTTGCTTCACTAGCAAGAGCCGCCTTCCACCGACGACATTTCCAGCTAACGTCAAGCAAAACACACACGCTCGGCGTCTTGGGGCGGTCGACTCTCCAGCCTCGTCGCAGCTTTGCGCTTGCGTTCCGTCGGTCGTGTGGAGTCGACAAAGCGGCAAGGGTTATCTACGCAAACAAGCCTCGAGCACCCCCAGTCCCCACGCCTTCCCGAGGACATGAAGCGCTCAATGTGAATGGAGAGGGGCGTTTCGTAACCCTTAACCCTTAACCCCCGTAACCCATACTAAAACCATGATTCACATCCTCGCCAAGGTACTACTTAAATGTACCGTAGAGGTCCCTGTTTAGTGCCGGTTGAATAGTGCGTGTGCCCGGTGTTTTCGGCGGGCGCACACTGAATTTCCATGCCATTCTCAATACTTTGAATAGCATGCCGGTCCGGAATAGATAATGCCGGTGACTTTTCTGGGCATGTGTACCGGCACTAAACGGGGAGGGCTTCTACTGCGCTCTCACCAGGCACGCCTCCCAAGGTGTCGGAGGTGAGGTTGGTGAAGAACGCATGCTCAGCCTTAGCGAGCCGGATGCCGTGTTCCATGCAAAGACGCTGGGTCCCTTCCCCCACGTTGAACAGAAACCTGTAGGTGCGTTGTTGTTGGGGGCGGGGCGGGGTTTGGTCGCTCATTAGGTGAAAATACTCTAGAGATAGATACGATAAAGACACGCCAATGGCCGGAGATCCTTGTATGTAGCGGCCCTGTAGACGCATGAGAGACGGAAGATACACTCCACCTTTCCATGCACGAGGCTTACGTAGAGATACCACTACACTGCAGCACTCCAGCACGAGGCTTATGTAGAGATAATACGTGATTTTGACGACTATAACAGGCACATGTTCTTCCTTCTTCGATCTTCGCTTCACGAGGTCGAGAATTGGGGGTCGAACCTGCCAACACTGATGAGGCAAACGCATACAACTCGATCGGAGAGAGGGTGTGAGAGGGCCGACATCGCCAACACTCATGAGGCATAAGCGTACGCGAGAGAGGGTGTGAGAAGATCTCGAAATCAATTCGCAGCGCGCCGTTTGGTTTCCGTGGCTAGTCCTCAAGACATTGAACATTGTTATTTAATTCGCCCACTATTCTGGGCGCCAGTCTACACCGATACTGCTGTTTGACGCATCAGCCAGGCGTAACTCTCCGCCTCGTGCGGTGCTTAGTGTGCTTGCCTTCAAAATTTTAACTTGCACCGCTCGCTGTCAATGGACGAACTGGTGCGTCTGGAGTTTCCTTTGGCGCCGCAATTCAGCACCTTGTACAGCAACTTCAGGCGTCCGCAATACTTATTCGCGTAGGAAACTACATTAGTAATACAGCACGACAAAGCAGCCAAGACAGCAAACATCAACCGCCCACCACGGCTGCTGTGGGCCAAGAGAACAAGCTGATCGGCATGCACAAGAGGCTTGCTGCAGGCTGCCCATCAGCGACAGCATGTAGTGCGAGTACGACGAGACAGAGTTTGCTGGCTGGTGACAGTGAAGGCGGGAGAAAGAGAGGTCGTGCACAGCGGAACCAGCAGCAGAGCAGCACCACCAGCAGCACCACCCGCCCTCAGCATCAACTACACTATTGTATAGCAGGATAGCAGGAGTGCTGAACTGCCGGTCTACACTGACTGGTACAGCAACTGGCCGGCCAGGCCGACAGGGCACGTACAATGCCCCCCACCTAGAATGAACCGTGCCGACGATCACGCAGACGGAAGAGTCTGGTGTTTCCACGCTCGCGACCTGAAGCCAGGCAGCCATCTCCCTTTCTTTCCCCTCCGAGCTGCTGAGCTGTGCGTGGGTGTACCGCAGTGCAAGACTGTCACTTTTCACTGCACCGACTGGGGCTCCGTGAATCCGTGAAAGCGGAGGTTCAATTCTTGCGGAGGCGTCGGATGTAACGTTTCGTCAAATGAAACGTTTCGTCGGATTAAACGTTTTGTCGACCGAGCAGGTGAGCCGGTGAGCCGGACGGACGAGCCAGGTACGAGTTACATTCAATTCGCTTTGTTGCCTTTTCGGGGAATGTACTTACTGCTATTGTGTGGGCGACGAGACGACAAAGATACGTCGTACGTACACTCTCAGGAGGAGCTGTGCCATGCACAATCAACAGAACATACTGCTGTACTTACACTACAAATGTACATCCTGTAGCTCCCGTCTTTCGCGTTCACGGAAGAATCGAATCCACCGCATAGACCAGGCTTCATTTCGAGATCATTCATCATTTGGCTGAACTATCTGTCGTCATCAGTGCGTAGAATATCGTACTTCTACAAGTAGGCTCCTCTCGTACATCACGCTACAGCCGTAGACTACACCAGCAGTATAGTTGAGGTCTATAAAAGCCGAACTCAAACCATTAGTAGACTAAGTCAGCGGCTGTTTAATGGTTTGATTTCGGCTTCTATAGGTTTCGGGCGCCAGTCACTGCCGATCCACAACACCACTAACTAAATAAACATCACTGGGGTTATATCTCGAACGGGTAGTCTTTCTGTGAGACAAAGCTACGTTTGGCAATATTCTGCTGGCCGCTATGCGTATGATCTCAACCACTCCTCCTCCTCCTCTCGAAGTACTTGGAGTCACGTATTAGTATTAGTCTAGACTGCTTTTTTTCCTGTTATACCTGATGGCCTCTCGCTGTTGTGCAAGAAATTGTCCGAAATGAAAAAATGCGAAGGACAGTCCAAAAAAGGCACGTCCAGCTGATGACGCTGACCCTCTTGGGTGTGGCTTACCGTACATACCCGGTCTGTGGGTCAGAACGGCTCAAAACCTGCCGTACTGCAAAGAGGTGAGCCGAGGGCGCCCTATAGCCAGCAAGACAGCACAACAATCAAGAGCCAGCACCTGTCTGTACACCGTGAACTTACAGAATGAGCATGGGTTCACGAAAAAAATATACTTGTACTACAAGAATGGGCAAATAAATGCACAGCAACATTTTCTTCGACACCAAGGACCTCTTACTTCTTACTTGGGGCATTTTCGGGGTTCCCGAGGTGGGTACCTACATATGCGTACGGGACGACTTCCATGCACCCTTGGAATGAGCTCGATATTTTTGGGCGCTGGGATTCACTTCGCACAACTGTTCATTCGTTTTTTCCTGCTGCTTCGGCAGTAGTAGAAAGCACAAAAGGCCCCCATCCAATTCAAGGCCTAGTCTACAGGGTTGGCCGTGTTGCTCATTCCGCACGAGAGCAGTCACACGGTTGACACGACTTGCTGGACTCCAAACAACAGCTGCTCACGCGCCACGTTCGTATTTGGCGACAACCTCACCTCTCAACAAGCTCGCTACAGTATAGGGAGATGAAATCGACCCTGGCGCAGAGGTAGGGGCAAGGAACATACGAAACAACAAGTCGCATGGGATGAAACTTTATATTGCTTGCACTTACATCAACGATAGGGTTTTATATTTACTGACCAACCACCCACTTTTTTTCGACATCAAGCACGTCCAACATGAGGACGCGCCGCAAAAAGCACAAGAGTACATACGAATGCTCGGTGTCCCCTATGGCAACCACGACGTGAAACGCTTGGTCCCTCATCACCCATGACAATCGCGACAACAAACTCGTAAGGATACGGGCTTGGGAACGGATAGAGGCGAAAACAAAATTCTCGAATGCATACACAACACGCAAACAGGTCTAGATGGAATGCTGCACAAAACAACACCCACCCGGCCTCCAAACGAGGCCCGACTGCACCTCACCACAACATGAGAAAGAAAGGGACAGCACCCGAATAAACAATAAAGAATTCTACGTCCACTCAGAATATTGCCTGTCGCCTCCAGAGAATGGGAACGGGTTTCGGTGAACGAGAAGTTGTGAGATACAAAAAAAAACTACATCATTTGACTAGGAAAATTATCGATCAAAAGGGAAACGGACATCGTAAGCAATGGGCATGCACCCGTTGTCTACTCCGCGCAGTCTCCTTTCCGAAGCCGATGCCAACAACGACAAAATGAAGGAATTTCGTGCCCATGCGGGCGTTCATACTGTACCCCCGCCCAGATCGAGCCCGAACTTCCGCCTTATTGTTCTTGCTACTCTTGCTTCTGCTACTCTCCTCCGCCTCGACATGATACGCCCACATGGGCACTCGACAACGTGGACTATTTTAGCTACTTTTTTTGTGCGTCTACGTCCTGCATTTCTGATGGTAGTATACTTCGTAGGTCATCAAATCGACGTACAGGACTTGCTCTGCCGTGCCACCAAGAGCGAGGGTCAAGTTGCACCGCAAGCAGCGGGGGGTACAAGCGACGGCACGGGCAACAACGCGTGGAGACAAAAGCCAGCCACCACATTTACAGCGCGCGGCAATAGACCCGCGCCAAGTCTTTCACATCCGTGCCTGAGACGCACTCGCTGCCAACCACTTCCCAACAAACCGTCTTACAAACAGCCCTCGATCAAACTAATCCTCTCCGACAAAACTCTTGAACGCCATGCACCTACCCCGAGCCGTTGGGCGGGGGGGCAGGGTTCCTCCTGGGAAAGGCCTTGATACTGTTCAGGCCAGCAGGGCATCTCTCCATCTAGGCTCCCCAGGGCTTGAAGGCCGACTGCGTCTTGGGGACCTGCTTGGCGATGTCGGGGAAGTGGCGGGCAAGGAGGTCCTTCATGCCCTCCGTGTTGGTGACGCGGTCGAACGCTTCCTGTGAGTACACCTGTGGTTCAAGGGGCATCGACACCGAAGCACGCGAGGGTGGTTGGGGTTTGTTCTTGTTACTGTTCGTCACGAGAAAAAAAACGGCATCCATCCCCCACAACACGCTCGGCATGAGAGAAAAATCGGCACACCCCGCGACAAACACCGTATCACTTCATCTTCATCCATCGTCGCCAGACTTTTACACGTCGCCGACGTATCCCTCTTGAGGACCGGCTGACACGACACTGCTGTGTTGGCCGTGAATGGAAGCGAGCATTGCGTCCATCGTCGGGATAGATGCATCAAGAGGGGAACAACTCGACTGCATCCAGTAGGGGGGGCCTCAGGCAGAAACCTTCTGTGTGACCACGGGTTGGAGTAAAAAGCACGAACGAACGCTGTGAGCGCTGATTAGAAGTCAAGACAAAAAGAAAACTAGAATAAAAAAAATGTAAAGTACAGTACCTCCGGGGTGAAGTCCTTGGTGAAAAAGCGGTCGGCCTCGAGGCGGCGGCTGGCCATGACGATGAAGATGTGGAACGACGTCTCGCTGTAATGACACCAATCGAAGGTCAAAAGAGCAAAAACAGCCAAAGAGACGGATATATGTTTGTTGTTATTTTTTCATACCATATGAATAAACTAACAATTGTGATTCTGTATCTGACGTATTATTTGATGTAGGTATATGGAACAACGGACACAATCGCGGTCAAGAAAACGGATTATTCGACAGGTTTGGGTAGAGGCAACTACCAAAACAAACTAGACACCCGCAAACAGACCGAAGGAAATAAAGCACTCGACACGTGTAGCACCGAGACGGCGGCGAGGGAGTGAGACAAAAATCTTGATGCCCCAGGAAACACACACACAGAAGCAGGATGCCGCAGGAGCTTAGTAACACAATGGTGTGGTACTGGTGTGCCTTCCTTCGTCGTGCGCGGAAACCGGAGGCTCCTCCAACACCGCCACTATTGTGCCCAAAAGGAGTTGCTTCTCTCTGACCTGATGGCGAAACCGTCGATCTTGTCCTCCGCCAGGTTGCCGACAAGTACGTCGAGTAGCTCCACATCGTCGCCGTACACTTCCTGCAGGGCTTCCTGTAGAATAGATCCACAAGAAATCAGCAGCAAAAAAAAAAAAAAAGAAACGTGTGACGACGTGTTGATTCACAGCCCACGTAAATCAGCAGCAAAACGCAACGACGTGTAACGACAGTTTAATGACCACCACACAGCAACCGCCTGAGCCACCAGCGTCAACACCATCACCACAGATAAATGGCAAAATGCAGATCACCACCGATCACTCACCACCAACAAGCATCCAGAAGAAGGACAACCGAACAAAAATAAATACCATACTGTACATGGCGTAATCAAAACCGGAAAATAAAAAATTCAAGTGTATAGGATCAATAGACTCAACACTGAAAATGAGCAATGTGCGTACAAGTATCAAGTATCCAGGCGGTTTTCGTATGTTCTTAATATGATACAACGAATCCATCTCTATCTATAGCAAAGAGTACGATAGACTAGCAATTAATCCATTGCGTCAGCGGAGGTTACAGCCAGTTTCTCTCTCCCCTCACTGCTGTAAAAACTTCAACGCATCCCCCTTGGAATGCGGTTGAATCTCAAAGGTAGTCTTTTCGTCTTCTTGTATATGTCGTAATAAAAAACGCACATGAACATCGTCCTTGGTATGCGTGAGATTTCGATTTTACCTGGTACTCCCTGTCCTTCGTCAAGTCGCTCCACTTCTTGATGGGGTTCATGTTGAGCGCGCGGCGCATGTCGTTGAACCGCGGGATGCCTGAGGAGGAGCGGTATAGCAAAACCGTCGCAATCATTGGAGCAGGGAAACGGGTCGGGTCCGGTCCAACAGGCTGAAGGGCGGAACCATGAAGTCAACGGCACGTGCGACGCCAACACGAATATGCATGGGTCCCCACGAACAGGAATATAGATAGGTCCCCTCTACACACCCAAGAGGGGATGAGAGGTGTAGGG